GAATATGCCAGACCATTTTATATTTTACCTTATTTTATATCAAAGATTAATATGAAATGGATAATAAAAACAATTAAAGGTACTTTAGAGGTAGTTAGCCCTGTTAGAGAACATCAATGAGAATAAAACATTATATTAAGAACTGCTGAATGCTACACTGATATAATGAGTTTAATCAAAATCGTTATACTCGTTTTTGAGAAAATAGCAAAAATGTGTTAAATGGAAGATATAAACTACCACTTCCGGTTTCCCGATTTTGACAAAAATGTTGCCGTAACATCCCAGTCTTTCAAAAAACCTTAAATACGCAATTTCAGTTTCGTACAACTTACCGTTTTTGAGCTAGGCAGTTCACACACACACACTCAGACCATTTTGTGGGACTTGGTTATTTGGACTCGGTAGAAACTGAAAACATGTGGATCCGTTGAAAACTCTGATTCGTAAATTTTCACGATCACGATGATTACCATTACGATATATCACAAATATAGGTAAGTGAAAGTAAATAATGAGAATAAAACCCATGCGATTTATAAGGGGATAATACGAGATAGGATGTGATATAACATATGTATAAAAGTTAAGAGCGTATAAACATTTATGCATTTCCTTTACGTTAGGCTATGTAATATTACATGACCTTTTAAGTTTATGTTTCACTATAAATTTTAATTATTACAAAGATTTAGAATAGATACCTATCCGATAAAAACCATAAAGTAACCACACGATGTCTTATAATCATATTGCTACAAGAAAGCGTAACTTCTACGAAGACGAAATCTTCATGAAACAAGTGCACTTTTTAATCTTGGAACATACCTTGACATTTTTCTTTGACCGCATAATATACCTTTTCGTCTCATCTTCGGAAGATGTAATGACCTTTTATGGAGCTTTGCGGTTAAGAAGACTCCCTGAAGTGGTGCAAGTTCTTGGTCGTTCAGAGAAAATATGTCCGTAAGACCTCATCTTTTGTTTGTTTTTTTGCACACGATTTCCCACATTATTATTATTTCTAATCTTCAAGCACAAATTATTTAATGCAAATAACAAACCACATTTATTCTTTTATCCAACAATATGTCGTCGTGTTATTGCAAAAAAGTCATTAAGTCATTTCATAACCTTAAATCACAAATACTTTGATGAATTTCCTTTTGTGAAATCATAACCTCATTGTCCATTTGTTTTAACTATATTTAATATATAAAAGAGTTTGTGTCCTGATTTTCCCTCTATTGAGAGGGACAAGCCTGGCTTGAAGTTACCTCGCCTAATTGTAAATAATGTATATAGGTATGAGAGAAGAAGAAGAAAAAGTCTTTTTATTTATGAAAATTACATAATATCAATTACAAAATAATATTTTTGGATTTAGAACCGAAAATCAGACGTTCTACATGGTCTATTGACAATCAGAGGAGACGGTGTTTTATAAACAAATTATATTTCAATCTATTTACATACAACTAATTAATAAGAAAATAGGAAAAATTATATTTACAATGTAAAAGTTATATAAATATTTTAATTACAAAAAGAGTGGTACCAAAATTCTCCAATTTATTAATTGTTAAATTCTCTGGTGAGCATTATTCTATAGGAGAAAGCAGTCTTGCTGTAATTTACCAATGCTATCCAATTGTTTCCATTTATTAAATCCATTACTTGATCCCGAGATAAATTTTTAGATTTTAAACATTTAATTCTAAATTCAGAGAGTACCGGACAAGCAGCCAGGAAGTGATAAGAGATCTTCTGTTTCGTTTGTACTTCACATGCTACAAATATTATTTGTTTGCTTGAAGTGTTTATAATTTAAGTTCAAAACATCAGCACTAATTTAATTACCCATCTGATCACCTTCAATGAGCTTTTGTCATCAATACAATTTACTCAAGTTAAATGAGGATAAAAAGTGAAAGTTTTAGAATTCTGAACTTTAATTACATATTGATTATATATATCTTTCTGAATTTGAGTTCTTAGTAAATATAAATTGACTCTCCATAGTTTGACATCATCACAGATCGATTTAATTTGAAATTTAATCCATGCAGTTCCATCAGTATATAGGTATGTCTGTGTTCTTTTTTTTTTTGTATTCTTTTTTTTTCTTTGTAGTCTACTTATATTTATTTAAGTCATTGTATTTTTTATTATATGTACTTTTATATTATTATTTAGTTGTTATTTCGCTTCTTTTTATTTTATATTTTATATAAATATAGTATGAATGTAATCTTACCTCGGTATAATTATTGTCCCTGTGACAATTTTTTAAATTTAAAAAAAATACCTATCTCGAAATCAGTCTAGCTATCAACGATATACGTGATATTCTCTTTCGTGTGAGCTGTAGATGTAAATTTTTTATTAGTATATTTAGCAACCTTTGATTCCGTACTATAACATTCTACTGAAGAAATGAGTTGTATATTAAATTCATTTTCCATATTATTTAAACTAACCATAAACATGAGGTTAATTTTGCCAGTGTAAAAATACTTGGAAAATAAATAAATATAATAAAAAAAAAAAAGAAAATTTATTTATTTAAAAACCATATAGAACAAACGTTGAATAAAAAAGAGGATTTGAAATTTATTCATGACTATTGAAATCAAATCATAAAATAACATTTAAATCCTACCTCCCCCCCACTACCAACCACCATATTTATTACCATAATCCTTTCTTTTAGTTGCATATCGAACATTGAACCAAGCCTATTAAATTAAATTGACCAACCCAATATTTGTTGGGGGAGTAAAATGTACTTTATATTTTTTAACAAATTTTGTAAAATGATTTATATTTATTTTAAAATTGTTTTATGTGTTGTGTATTTTAATTATTGTAGTTATGACTGGTTTTTACTTTGAACCTAAAATATATTGGTATACAACTTTTTTTAGATTGCTAAGGAGGGGGGCATAGATTCACCGAAACGTACAAATAAATAATAATCAGAAGTTAATTTTGATTTTTATTATTTCTGACCTATGAGGCATGAAATTGAGTGTAAATTGATGTTATTTTTGTTATTTCTATTTATACTGAGATAAAAAGTGTGATAACATGTGAAATACAATATACAAGGGTCATAGGCGCAGACTTCCCATTTTGAAAAAAAAAAAAAAATAGCGGTAATCCATATTATTATGTTGACTAATTCAATATAATTATTGTGAAACGAACGAATTATATTGGATATTTGAAAATAAATTTATATATATGTTTAGACAGTTGGTGTCCACATGAGAGGTGAATGAATCATGAAATCCAAGGATATGTTTCTATATTATTATTATTATTTCTGAATATGAATAAAAATTTAAATAGTAGGAATATTTAGGTCGTTATGAAATAGTTACCTACCAACATATAGGCCTCAATTTAGCCAGCTCTTATTTTCTTGATCGATTTTAGTTTACATATTTTATTCCTTCATGTACCTTATTTATCAATTTTTTTTACTTCAAATTATTGGGGGGAAGGAGGGGGTGGACGAGATTCTCGCCTCCCGTCTCTCCCCCTCCCTCCGAAGTCTGCACCAATGACAGGGATGTTCGTAAGTTATTCAATCCTTACTTGTAATAGGTTATATTAGGCTTGGAAACATAGTTTTACTTTCACTGATTTTTTTTATTTTGATTTTTTTAGGCATATGAGTAGTTTAATGAAATTACGAGTATAATAGGGCGATGTTAAGGAAAATTTATTTGCTATTTATTATTAATATAAATTAATGTGTGAAATGTGCCATTTTACAAAAAAAAAAAAATTCTGTCTTTATATTGACCATTTATTTAATTTCTTCTTATCTTACATATATGTTTACACTACACAAAGTAAAAAAAAAAAAAATTATAAACTATGAATTGTCCATGTAACTAATGATATTTACAATTATTCTTTTTTATGGATTATTTGGTTTGCTTATATTTTGAACATAAAAATATTGGAATGAAAATATAACTCTGTAATTAATACACGAATTCTAATAGTAATAACATTTTGTTGCTTACATTAATTAAATAGTTTTTGTGTTTTGATGATTACATTATAATATTTACTGTTACATATTGAATTAATTACATTTATTTGATGAGCTAGTTGTTGTAGGCAGATTTTTTTTAAAATGATGTTTGGATACAACATTGTATTTTTATATTTAAAACATTGTATATTTTATAAAAGTGATCTTTAACACTGTCACATAAGATAACCATTTCGTTTTGAAATTTCATCAATTTTACATTTATGTTTAACTTGGATTTATACCACAGCATTGTGGTTTTGCTTACAACTCCACTGATTTAAGAGACCCAATTATTTAGTTGATCTTTTCGCAAATACAAGCCGTTCTGTTATATACCCGACAAGCCAGTATTTTATTCCCCTAAATATTTTCTAATTAAAAGTCCTTTTTTTTAATTTTATTGTTTTTATTATTTTGTCTATTTAAATTTTAATGAAAAATAAGAAATAATGTTTAATTGGTTTGTGATTAAGATAGTTTAAAATATATATATATATATATATATATATATATATTTTTACTATTTTGTACTGCTGAGAACAACAATCATCCCCTCCCCCCCCCCTCCCTACCGTTATTAGCTTTTATCGTTATTTTGAATTTTTATAAAATTGGGGGTTCAATATCGTTCATGAAAATAAAATTACGTTTACATTGCATAGGGCCCATTCTTTGGATGCCATTCCTTGGACCCGAATTGTGTTATGATGAGTAAATTTTTCTGAGCGTTAGGAATATTTTTAAATAGTACGCCTATTTCATTCATTCTGTATTTGTACTTTCGTTCATTGATGTTGTAATGTGATTAGGTACGTATGATGAAAATAAAAATAGGCTTTGTAAGCAAGAACCTATCGGATGTCTCATTCTTAAGTTTTTCATGTTTAATCATATTAGCGAATTTGTTCATGTATATTTCCTCAAACAAATTGGGAAACCTGGCTACTCATGGCCAATAATGGAGGTAGTGGGTCCGGAATAAACCCCAGTCTTCCTTGATCATGTCTGCAGCCTTCTCTGCCACCATGATAGTCGGAGCGTTAGTGTTTCCTCGAGGGATGGTGGGCATTATAGAGGCGTCCACAACCCGAAGACCTGCTACACCGTAGACTCGAAGTCGGTTGTCAACAACTGCAAGAGGATCCGAAGGAGGCGCCATCTTGCATGTACCAACCGGATGGTAAATGGTCATCGTGTAGTGGCGAGCCTAAAACAGATCCATAGCAATCGTTAGTCATAAGTTATTTTCTGTGGAATAGATTTCTTTTGTATTATTGTAAAATAAAATATAGGTGCAACTGTACTAAAGTCATTCCACTTCGACGAGTGGATCGAGATTTCATGATCACGAAACGTCGATTTGAGAATGTTTCATTTATAAAAGACATAATAATGGGAGTATGTTTTTCACTATATATACAGTGGCTCACAGTGAAATTGATACACCCCACAGAAAAAAAAAAAAAAAAAAAAAAAAACTTAAATATTTACAGTATACAAATAAAACTAGAAACTCTTCAACTTATTTATTTATAACCTCAATTTAAATCTGTACAAACTCAATAAAATTAAATTATTCAACAGTGATTATTTGAAAAAATCAACAACAAAAAAACTGGATAATTTTACCTCAGTCAAAATGATACACCTCACTTCTTATTAACTTTTAAATACTATTAATTTAGTTCAATATCTTGCAGAAAAATCCTCCTGACGAAAAGCGAAGCTATCTGGGATCTGAGTACTAATGCATGGAGGAGAAGAACCAATAAAGAATTTCTTACATAAATTGGTCAATCGATATCTCATTGCATTGAGGTCAGGAGGTTATAGTGGGCGGCCATGTAGATCGGAGCAATCCATCAGGAAGCCTCTACACCGCAATGGATGCCTTAGTACTTGCAAGAGACCACGTGGAAGACCAAAAACCAGATTGATGGTTCGAACCAACAAACATGCAATAAAGCTGCATGCAGCTAACAGATACCTGGAAAGAAATAGCCTAAGATAAGCAGAGATGAAGAACGCTGGTTAAGACGGGAAAAAGATCTACTAGCCCGTAATGCTAATAGGAAAACAAATCTGCTCACTATGCGCTTTATTATCAACATAATGAATTTGTAATTTTTTTTATATTTTTTTTTTGTATGCTAGAATTTTGTTACGATAACATCCTTTCCGCCGTAATTTAAAGCAAACTAACTGCCAATACTAGATGAATAAGTGATAAAACCCAAAAGGTTGTTATTGCAATTTGTGACGCAATAAAGATTTGGGAATTGCTAATGGAGACTGGATGACACGACGATTGGAGCTGATTAATTAGTCAATTTGTTGAGTGATTGTCGCCAAAACATTTTTAGAAACTAATGAAAACCTCTTTAGGGCTTTCTTTTTTTCTACTTGTAAACTGAACCTGCTTAAGCGTTTTATTTATTTTTTATATCTAAAAATTAGGCCATTATATTCTGATTTTTTTACCTTCACTTACCTATATATGCAATGTATAGTAAGGGTAACCATTGCGATCGTGAAATTTTTCGAGTATGGGTTTTCTGCGGAAATACATGTTTTGAGGTCTCCTGAGTCCAAATAACCAAGTCCCGCAAAATGGTCTGTATGTGTCTGTAAGTGTGTGTGTGTATGTACGTATGTTATCGGTCTAGCTCAAAAAGGAGAAGTCGTATGAAAGTTAAATTGCATATTTACGGTTTTTATAAGTGTTTGATGTTACAGCAACATTTTCGTCAAAACCAGCGAACCGGAAATGGTACTTTATATTATCGATTTAATACATTTTTACTATTTTCTCAAAAACTACTCTAACGATTTTGATTAAACTCAGTATATCAGTTTTATTATTAAGCAGTTTTTATTACAATGTAGGTTTTATTTTTATTGATGTTCTCTATCAGGACTTAATGGCTAATTTTCAATATTTGCTTCCTCTAAAGTATCTTTATTTTTTTTTTTATTTGAAATAAATAACCATTTCACATTAATCTTTGATATACAAAATAGTTAATGTATAAAATATGAAAAAAATTGATGATTAAATAAGTAGAAATAAGGGATCGTAACGGATAATAGTTGTAATATAGGAATCCAAAGAATTAGATTTTTTACTATTTATTTGATATATAATACTTATCAATTTCAATTATAAGTAAAAAATTTATAATAACTGCTGATTAATAAGGTTAATGTCATTTGGATTTTACAATTATCTATCGCTATTATTTGCTTTTAGTGTTCATTATAGTGTGTGAGACCTTTGATATTATCTATATGTTGAATTGAACGAATTAAAATCAGCTATGGAGTATTGCAGGGGGGCTCTTTAAGTCCTCTATTATTTTCATTATTCATTTCAGTTATAATGTTTCATTTTAAAAATAATTATTTATTAAATTTTAAATTGGTCCATAATCGTCTTATCTTTTTGGTTACATTCAAGGAATTGCTGTGTTATATATGTGTGCGATGTTACACATATATAACTTATTGTTGATAATTTGTAAGAGTATTGTTATGATGGGGGAGAAAAAAAAAAGAAAAATATAATATAAAATTAATGTCCGTATGGATTGATAAGTATGCTGTGTACGAAGCAACCTACTACATAGGGCAGCATTACTTTTACTAAAGTATTTCTCTATAAATAATTAGGTATTAAAGTTAATTCCAAAATATTGTCATATAACTTTTTAGAAAACTTTATTTATTTATTTATTTATTTATTAATGATATTTACAACTGTATTACAAGTAAAAATACATTCAGTAAATGTGTACAATAGAATATAATAACATGAAATCATTTGGTGAGAAACTACCCACTGGTAGCACTCTAAAAATGTATTTACAAAAGGAGATCTCGAGGCCATCTTCTTTTCAGACGCCTCGGAGGGTTGTCAGGTATCGAAAAGGAAGCAAGGTTAGAAACGAGAGGGTTAGGATGGTTCTGAAGTTTATTATGGAAGGAAAGGTATCTGGATTGGGCCAGGTCAGAAACATAAGGAACATTAAGGTCGTTATGGATGATTTTGTTTGTGACAAAGTAAGGAGCTGTGAGGATTTTACGAAGGATTTTGGATTGTAAGGATTGGATGCGAGAGGAATTCGATGGCTTAGTGGAGCCCCAGAGCTCAATTCCGTAAGTCCAAATAGGTCTTATTGTAGTCATGTATATGAGTCTTTTGTAATTGACTGGGAGCTTAGAGCGTTTGTCTAGTAAGTGCTGGAGTAGTCGGAAACGTCGAGCTGTTTCTTGTCGTTTCAGTCTGGTATGAGGATTCCAAGTTAGACGTCTGTCTAAGTGGAGTCCAAGGTATCGAATTTGTTCAACAGGGATAAGTGGGGTATTATTAAAGGATACTGTAGGACAAGAGGACATAGGTTTACGACGAAGGGTAAACGTGATTTGATGGGATTTATTGGAATTTATTTTGATCCTCCAGTTTTGAAACCATTCTTCAAGGTTTGTGATGTGTGATTGAAGGGTTTGGGATGCAATTGTTGGGTCGTTATTAATTGATAGGACACATGTATCATCGGCATACGTGGTAATAACAGTGTTAGGATGGGTTGGGATATCAGCTGTATAAACTGTGTAAAGGATAGGACCTAGGATACTTCCTTGAGGAACCCCAGCGGACTGGGAAAAAAGGGATGAATAGGCATTATTATGATTTACTTTGAAGGATCTATCAGTTAGATAGGAACGGATAATGAGGAAGTATGTAGGGTGTAGGAATTTACGGAGTTTGTAAAGCAGTCCTGGGTGCCAGACTCGATCAAAAGCCTGTTCTACATCGAGAAAGACTCCCGTGCAGTACATTCCGCGCTCCAATGCAGAGGAGACAACATCCACCACACGATGGCATTGCTGGATAGTGGAATGGGATCTGCGGAATCCAAATTGATGATCTGGGATAATGTGATTAGAATCTAGGATGGGGTGCAGGCGTTTTAGGATGAGCTTTTCCAGGATTTTGCCTAGGATGGGTAAAAGGGAGATAGGGTGATAAGAGGATGGATTTTCTGGTGGCTTTTTGGGTTTATGTATCATTTTGATAATAGATAATTTCCAAGGGTTAGGAAAGTATGTGGTTCGCAGAACAGCATTATATATATACGTAAGGAATAGGATGGCTTTCCGAGGAAGCAGTTTTAGGATCTGGGATGTAATTAGGTCGTGTCCAGGAGCTTTTCGGGAAGGTAACCTTTGAATGATGTCGGATATTTCTGAAGGATGAAAGGCTTTAGGTGGAAGAGACATTTGGAGTGGGATATCCAGTTCTGCTTCAATACATTCAAGGTGATTTGGGTTATGAATATCAGGGTGTGGATTAAAGGTTTTAAAGAGGTGATGAGCAAAGATTTGTGATTTTTCTTCATCGGTTTTGGACCAGGTTTGAGCTTCAGTAAGAAGTGGATGATTACAGTCTTTGAATTTCAGGAGCCTTTTAGTGGTCGTCCATAGTGATTTGTCGGTAGGTGTAAGTTTTTCAGTAAAGTTTAGTAAATCTAGGAAATCGGGACGTTTTTTGAGGGATGTTGGCCAATAAGTAGGACTCATGGGCGAAAGGATTGAATAATTGTTGGAAGATGAAACACGTGATAGGATGTTACCGCGGGGGTTGGATGTTCGACAACCCCATCGTTGGTGTTTAGCATTGTAGTCCCCTCCAGCAATGAAGCGCGATCCGAGGGATTTGAATAAGGAATCAAGGAGGTTTATCAAGGAGGCGTTAGGATGGGACTGTTGAGGATGCTGCGGTGGTAATTTGACTCGTAAGGGTATATGATGAGGGAGAATTTGCTGACGTGGAGGATGAGATTGGGGATTGTGAGATTGAGGTTTGCATTGGGAGATTTGAGGCGCCTGAATTTGAGGCTGCTGCTTCTTCATGGTGATTGGTGTTTTTCTAAAGTCCTGCTGAGGTTGATCAATTTCTTTTGATGTAGTCGCTAGCTGTGTTTTTTGAGTAGACGTTTTTGGCAATTCAGGAAAATTTGACAGATTATCAATTTCAGGTAGATGGGTGTCACTTTCTTGGTTCAGTTTTACGCTTTTCGAGGCAATGTTCTGAGCTCTCTGCTTATAAAAATGTTTATAAACTTTGCATCCTCTGTAGTTTGCTGGATGTTCTTCACCACAAAGGGCACATTTCGCAGGCAGGTCTCGAGGTCTCTGACAAGTGTC